AAAAAAAAAAAAAAAAAAAATTCTGAAAAAAAAAAAAATGTTATGCAGAAAAATAAACTGAACAACTTTTGCCTCAGGGTCACATCGAAATTCTTCACCAAATTTAAAATATAAAATAAAATGCAAAAATATTTTATTTATTTATATTTATTTTTATTATTTTGGCCCGGTCGGGCAAGTGACCTCGGGCCACTCTGGTAGCCTAGCCATAATTAAATCTAGCAAAAAATTATCTCCTGGAAATAAAAAAGCCCTATACTGAAGACAAGTTTTGCTTGAGATTGCCTCATAAACCTCTGAGATCCTAAATATGTTGCATTCATACTTTATTGAGGATACCATTGCATATCCACCATTGCTAATTCTGACGGGGGGAAAGGATCAGGAAAACATTCTGGAGATCTGAGTGTGGTTCCTGGAGGAAGCGAAAACCAGTCTTTGAAGCTCAAGAGGAAATCTCGTTTTAGATTTTCCCCCTGTTCTTCCTTCCCCGGCCATTTCACTTCTCCCAGACACCCTCCTTCATTTCCTCCCAGCCAATCTTGGTTGAATTTTTGAATACATTTGATTATATTTTTTTTTTGATGAAGCTGTTTTATCTTTGATCGTACTACTAACCATTGTGCTCTTATTTCTGTCTGTACGAATTGGATAATTAGTTCAGCAAATTCCACACCTTCCAGTTTTACATCTTCTCTTTCATAAACACATCTCTTGTACCATAATGCCCATAGAATTGCTTTTCGACCAAGTTCGAACAAATTCTTCTGAAATTCTGGAAGTTGCATATCCTGTGGTTCCCATTGTCCTAGTAGGATGACTTTCCAATCCCATGGCCAGTCTAATCCTGTCAGTGTTCTCCACACATTGTCCCATCTTCTCCATAATAACACCGTTCCAGGACATTGGATAAATATATGCTCAAATTGTTTCTCTGATTTTCTTGTTTGGGAAAAAAGATAGACATGCTTTACACCATGGAAGTGTCAGACCTCGTTGCTCTAAATTGGTGTGGTTGATAAGCCAATCATTTGTTGGAAGACATCGATGAATTATTTGCCATTGTAATGATGAAAACTTAGCAGGCCGTTTTTTAAGTTGATTAAAAAAAATTATATTGTTGATACTTTGTATGTCTATGTTCAAATGTCTGGTCCATCGATCCCTTATTATAGATGCCACATCTACCTTAGGTCTTAGCATACGATATGTTGCCTTAACTGTTATGGTTTGTAGAGTACGTGGTTTACTTCTTGTACCTGTCTGCCATTCCCATTCGTCCGGATCAAAGGGTAGATCTGCAATTAGCAAATCATGCTGGAAGAATGGGAGACCAAATATGGTAAATGCACATCTTTTTATCTTTGTTATTTTATGAGAGAGAATATCATGAATTTTACGTTGGCGGTTGACTTTCTAAGATAAGGCTGAATATACAAGGAATTGAAAGTAGTATTTTACTCATGTAAAGTCATGGACTGGTTTCTTCAACCCTTTTCTTATGTTAGCAAAAATAAGATGGTGCGTTAACTTTTGATTGGAAATGGCAGCATGTCGTAAGGCAAATTCCATGGTGATAGGGACGCCACATCTTTTTCAAAATTGTAATCGAGGATTTGATTGACGTCATTAGTCTTATATATGGAACTGCAAGCGTTTTGCCCAGTTCTTAGAAGTTTTTATGAATTGTATATTGCTTCATTTTTTATACGCATTGCTCTACTACCATCTTTGTACGCAACTCGGTTCAGCAACGAAGTGGTGAACACTCCTTAGACCACTAGCGCGGCTGCATGCTCTCCGCGTCTGGTGGGGTTACCAGCATGCCGGTTCACAAAAGATACATCGAGGTAAAACAGGTCTGGCATGTCGGTTCAACCTGCCAAATGCGGTGCATATACAACCTCGTCTTATAAAAATGGTTGGGAAGCAACAGTGGTTTAATATGGGAGCTACATTTTGTTGTTTTGTGGTCCCGATTATGCAAAACTGACCAACTTATCTAAATTGTGAACATGACAATGTTATAAGATGTGTGCGCACAAAGTTTTCAACCATAAGGTAATGTTGTAGTTCCCCATGCCACATTTGACAATTACTCACATTGTTAAACAGGCATGTAGACATACCTACGCAACAGTGCTAAGATGTTGCTCGGACTCAATACACTGATTCTAATTAGATGGCATGAGTAGAGTTCTTAGAGCGTAAGTTAGGAGAGAAGCAAACCCAACCACCATTGATAAATTTTAGGATTGCATGATAAGTCTACTTTTTCATAATAATGAGGGGAAAAAATGAGATCAAAGAGACGATATACGTCAGCATCTCTTATGATGAAGAGGAGTGAAGTTTTGACTGATGGCACACAAAAAACCAGATTTTTTAACACACACTCACACCCATCTATTCTGGCGGGCAGCGGTCCAGTTGCTTATCATTGACAAACATCAAGAAAAAAGTTTCGACAGATAAGAAATGGACTAGGCAAGAGAGGGGAGAGAGGGGAGAGAGGGGGGGAAAGAAAAAGCAAGAGTCATGGGAGAGGGTATAGAAAAGAACTCGGGAAATTCAAGATAAGCAAGCAAAAATACTTCAGCCCTGCAACTCAAAAAAAAAAAAATAGATTTGTACAAAATGTAGAAACAATAGTTTCAATTAGATGTCAAAAATAACCCTTTGCCAATTTATCACTGTCACGTTATAACGTGTGGTAATGACATGATTGATGATGTTACAAAAACTATGATGCATTTGTCTCTCTACACACACATTCCATGTACAGGATTTAATCTAGTTTCAAAGGTGTAAAATATTTTAGCATCAATTGACTTG